AGCTGCGGAGGGAGATTCCCGGAGCGATTCCAATTGGGTTAACTACATACAATTCGTGGGTACAGCCGACCGATCGTAAATTGGTTAGTACCTGAAACCGCTTGGGTACCAACCGCCCGTTCTGGGACGCATTACCCACGGATACGATGATTCCAGAGCGCATTACAGCTTGCTCGTAAAAATGTTAGAGGAACTGGGAAGGAGAGAGAGAGAGAGACGAGAGGCCTGTAAAGATAGATCGCGTGTTTACACCAAACGAGCAATTAGTTTATCACGCCTCCCGTTTGAAACAGGGTGAGGCCGAACGACTGAATTTGGTCGTCTTTCAGCTGACTCTTTCGTCCCTCTATTTTGTCAATGGCAGGTTTAGATAAAATCATCGATACTTGGATGCTTAAGCTAGTTTCTTCGTTAACGTAACAGTACTTTATTCTTTTTCATATAATATTATTCTTGTCTATTGCATGTTGATCTTCATATAAAATTCTTACCTATTTCTTCCTCCTGTTTGAGGGGAGACTCGTTTTCTCTCGGCCATAAATTAATGCAAACATGGTCTGTTATATATAGAAATATTGAGCTTAGACTATATATTTATTTACATTATCCATATACATGCATTTTTATGGTATTTCATCATTTATACGATCTATACTATTTATTACTTGAAAATAGTGCATAAAGTGTACACTTTGGCATCTCATACAATCTCGGACATCTCAAAATATAAAAGTGAAGAAATCTTTTAACGTATTAGGTGTAAAAATTAATTCTGATCCTTTATATTCAATCATTTACAATTTCATTTTAAGTAGAAATATTTATTCGACACTTTGTCACCTTCAATTACCAACCTTCCAAGTCTTCAATCTGATCAACCTCGCCGACTCGAGCCCTTTGAAGGAGCAATACGTATTGTTTTGATTCCACCGTAGCAATCGCTAGGACGTCGCGTGGTCCTCTTTGCGAAACCTTCCGTTGGTGTTTGATCAGATTCGATCTTCGACGCGGTCGAAACGGAACAGAAATTCCTACAGTGCACAAAGGTGACTTGATCCAACTGGCGAACGTTGTAATGATTCTTTCTTGTGTACGTTGCTCGCCGCTACGGAGAAAGGAGTGAAAGGAACAGGAAGGGAAGCAGTGGTGCCGGCGGTTCTCGTTTCGCCCCGAGATTTACGAGATGCCTGTTGTATTTATTAAAAGTTTTCCACCGAACGGTGGCTCCTCGGTTCTCGTGAAAACTGTAGAGAGCGTCTGAAGCGATATTGTAAAGAAACGGAAGTTAAGTATCGCTAATGAAAGAAACGACAGAGGGCCGGGATGAAACTCTGGCATTGCGGCAGGGTTACCGGAGGCCGTACTCTTGGCAACGACCGTCGGATGTCGACTGGATTTACTGTGAATAAAAGCAGACCGCCGTCGTAAATCGCGGAGTATTGCGCGGCGTCGGGCCACGGGAAACGAAGCGTTCGGATATCGCAATATTTTAATAAAGGAAATTTTATTTCCTCTAGAAACGATGGCCTAGGGTCTGTATAAATATTGCGCGGCTCTCGATCTTTACAGAGCGTAGAATAATCGTGAAGATGACGTTTTGGTCTTGGATACTAGGATTCCACGATGAAATTGCGCTATGTAGTACCAGGGTGCTGAAATTCTTGAAATGTTGTTTTTCAAATTTTAATGCTTCCCTACGTTCACACTTTTAAATGTTTCAGACTCTCGAGTATAAATGTAGAATTTGGGATTGATCGAGGATGGCGAATAATTAAGACGCGCGGGAAATGTTAAACAGAATGTATTTGAATAATGAAATTGAAATGTATAAAAAAACTCTCGGACCCGTTAATATACAGAATTTTATTTATTTTATTTACTGGGAATTTTTATGTATTCATAGGAAATTCGAGTGTGCGAGAAACTAGAAAATGCATACAGTATGCAATAATATAAAAAAATATCGAAATTAAAATTCATGTAATATTTTTAGAGTAAAATATATTCTTACTTAGGTTCAGTTTTTGTAGCTACGTTTCCAAAGATTTTATTTTGTATAAAGATCCACAGCCTACGTACAATAAATAATGAGTTTTATGTCACTGCCTGAAGTTACTTTTCATCTCATGTGATTGATTTTATTTCAACACGTTGATTGCCAGACCGATTCACATGGAGAGATCTGCAGGTGTAAAATTTGGTCTCGAGACAATTACAGACCATGGAACCTAACATTCGTCGTATCACGTATTTTCGTATTCTCATCAAAATTTACAAATTCTCTCCAGACTTGTTTTCATTAATATTTAGCTCTTACAATTAATTCCTGAAGTTTCTTAGCGAGAAGCTCTGTAATATCAAAACTATTATTTAGTTTAGTAAAATAACTTCGGTAGACATACAGAAGACATACTTCAGATAGACATACCATTATTTAATTTAGTAAAACAACTTCGACAGACATACAGGGATATTTATGGGATTCACTGTATATAGAATCTCCAGCAAACGCTAATGTCACCTGCTGAAAGCGTGATTCTATCCGCAAAAGTGAATCGAAAGTGCACAGAATAAAATTGTTCCCGGCTTGGTTTTCGAGGAAATCGGTTTTCAAAACACGTGGCCAACGCGCGTTTTATTGTTAAGTCTCGACTTCGCGGATTTCCCTGAACATCCCTATCGTATTTCTGCGCAAACCGTACACCCGTAGTCCGGATCATTCCGCGCGGTACGCGCAACACAAGAGGCGTACACGCAACACGCGAGAGGATTTCGCTCGCGCTGTATGCGTCGAAGCCAAGGCCGATAAATCCAGAGTCATAAAATTCGATTTCGTCTATTACGAGTTTCCAGATACCCAACGCTAATGGGCACTAGGTTCGCGGAACCAGAACCCGATTGGTCGGAATTCGTGGAACCCGATACGGATAGATGTCACGTCTAGGGGGCTCGAGCTGTTCCCGGATGTCTACAGAGTCCTGGTGGACTCTGACGATGTTAGGAAAGAGAGAGGAGGAGGAAGGGGGAGGGTACTAGATGGGTCCAGAGCAGTGACCATTAATCCTCGTGAGATCGCGCTAGACTTCGTCATCTAATGATCCGTTTGACTTTTGTTATTTGCAGCGATGAACCTTTTCGTTCGAACTGTCCAGGATTAAGAAATTTGCCGAGCTATTTCTGTCTAAACTATTGTAGGAATAGAAATCAGTACTGAAATGGCGTAATTTAAGGAGAAACGAATTCAAACTAGAAACAAAAAGGAAAAATATAATTTTATGAAATGTTTCGACCTCGATTGAACGTGTATAGAATATCCAGCAAACACTAATGCCACCTGCTGAAAGCGTTCGGTTATGAAATTAAGACTATTCTTCTAGCGTACCATGGTGTTAGATTGCGTTATTTAATAATCCATTGAATTTTTACTTTTTCTGCTATCAAACATTTTTATGGGAGCCATCCATGATTAAGAATTTTGGTTTCCTCTAAACTGTATCGTAAGAGTAGCCAAAACTGAGACTACTCTTCTGGAACTCCATCATCCACTGACCTCCTGACTTTCTACTTTGTACCTATTTAAATCTTCTACGAAAATGATCAATGATTAAGAATAGCAATCTTACGAGGACTATTCTTCTAGCTTGTGTGGTAGGTTTATAAAGGACTCTCGTCTTTGACCTGGAGAGTCCAGGTGGTCCTAGGTGTACCCGCGAGTCTAGGGAGCAGCCGAGGTCACAAGAGATTCGAGAAATTCCAAGTTTACTCGGTGTACAGAGTCTCGAAGGTCTGGAATATCTGAGAGACTCCTGGGACCGAGATTCTTGGCACCTCCAGATTCGCTGGGTACTTCGGTTCGGTATGAATCCTCCGGATCCTGCGAGACCTCTGGAACCGCCAACCGAAGACACCCGAGACTCCTGGTGCCCCGTAGACTGATATCTCTAAAGTTTGACCGCTCAACAAGTTGTACAAGATCCTTAGGACTCGGTTCGACGTCGGTTCTTGCCACCCTCCACGGTCTGCTAAAGAGTATCAGATAACGCCAGCTAGCTAAGCTATAGGCGATAGTCTAATCGCTCGATCGTATCCCTAACACTCGCTCCAAGCCTAGGCCATTACATCAGGGATCTTGTTAAACTTGTTGAGCGGTACTTTCACGAATCTAGACATGTTACACGTGAATGCCACGACCAACGGTTGCGGTTCTGTATATCGAAGAATTGGAGAGTACGTGTCATGAGATTTATTAGGTAGAGCTTTTGAAAAGGGTTATTTCAGATAGGAGAAATACATAAATTTGCATTAGCATTCACAGTCTGGTATTCAAACAAGGATATTTTATAACGTTTCGGAGCTTTGTAGTTGGTTCAACACGTTGAACGCCACGTCACCCATTTCAACACTGCTCATAAGTAGTCCTATAACTACCACGTTAAAAATAGTCGAGTATTATTACTCAATATTGCTTATTAAATAGGAACCCATTGCTAGCATTGAGATTTTACTCATTTTACAAGGATAGCTACCGTTGGTATTCGAGAAGAATGATTTCAACATGCTCATAAGTAGTCCTATAACTACCACGTTAAAAATAGTCGAGTATTATTACTCAATATTGCTTATTAAATAGGAACCCATTGCTAGCATTGAGATTTTACTCATTTTACAAGGATAGCTACCGTTCGTATACAAGAAGAACGAACTCACTGCCCGTGGGTTATCCAATAAGCAACCACGTTAAAAATAGTCATGCATCTAGTCTGTATCAGCATCCTTGCCTGTATGACTCAATAATCATGTACTATTCAGTTCTTTACACTAAATGGCTACATAATGAATATATACCAAATACGACAACACTTCAATGAGCACTTACTTTTCTCCCATACCAACGGTACATAATCGTTCCCCGAAAGATTCCTCAAACACAGATATAAAAAATCGCATCCCCGCGATACGCTTGACGCACTAAATCCTCGTACGTCTTTAATTTTCTGTTGCAGTACTACGAGATGTCGTACGGTATCACCGTGGAGATGCACAAGCAGGTAAGCCAGTCCTCTCGAAACAATACGTTTGCGTGTTCGCCGGCGATCCTCGGAAGCGCGACTTTATCTCGTCGCAGGTAGCCTAAAACGTGCCCACGGAGAAAGTTGGCGAGGTAGAAGTTCCTTTCAGCCGAGTTTCCAACGAGATATTAACCGGAGGTGGATAGGGTGAGCGTCGCGTTAAGAATGTCGACCCGATTTCTATCGCGCTTCCGAGGCGGCAGCAAGGGTGGTTCGAGGATCAAAAGGTTCCTCGTTGACTCGTTTCGGAATGCGTCCAGCCGAGGCCCGCGAAAACGAAAGGGGATGACACGACGCATCTGGCGCAAGAAATCGTGTAATTTTAGCTAATTAGGGGAAACAGTGGGCCGTTTTCCCCTCTGTCAGTAATTTTCTTAAAAGCGACCGCGACCCCTCCGTGCCACGGTAACCGGCTCCTGGAAAGTGGGAGGGGTTGAAGAGGGACTCCTAAACTCCAAACAACCCTCCCTGACACGACGAGCTGATATTCATTAGCATTAGCGGCCGATCATTTCTCACCCTTGTACCCAGGGGCGTTGCTCAATGGGGTGCGAGCCCGGGGACAGGGAGTAGGGAGACCGTCGTCGTACAGGCCGGTCCACCATTAAATCGGCGCGAAATTGCGTCCGGTGGCTCAAGTGGCAAACTAGTTAGCTTAGGATGCTTTATAGCGGCGTTGTTATTGCCGTGTACGATTTGCGCTTCGAATTGATACGTCGGCCTTTAAACCGTGTACCGCTTAATTGACTCATTAGCTCCGCAGGCGGAATTGCTTTCGTTCGGCGCTCGAACGCGAGATAATTGTCGCGACGTCGCGGAAATTTAATACGGTTGACGTCTCGTGGCCGAAAAACGGGATTCGGGAAATACGTGCTCCGGCAGGAACGAAGTTAAGGTGTTTCATTGAAATGTTTCGTAGGTAAGAGTATGCTTCGAAGAATATTTTTGGTCATTTTTAGGAGAAATTGTTTACTTGTGTTAGAACGCGTTAGGATTGATTGTTTATGGGAATTTTTCGAGTACGTCGTGGAGTGGATTTCTTTAGTCTTAGATAAAATTAGATGAATTTTTAGAAACTAGATGAATAGCGATATTGTTTCACTTGAGGATTTGTTTACGAAAGGCAAGATTTTTAAGAAAAAAATGAGCAAATTTTGTGGAACAATCTACATCTGTTTAAAAATATTCTTATTCTCTTCAGTTTTGACCAAAAAATTAATTGGAAAAAGAACGTGACTAACATTTGCAAGAGATTTTTCGTGTTATTCAATTTCTTGAAAGCTAACTAACTAAAAATTAATTCCTTACATAGTACTCAGTAAAATGATATTTTATTTTATATAATTGGAATGTATTCTGAAAAAGACCAATAATAATATGTCATTCATTGAAAGAAAATCAGAAAATTCATATCTAATAAAGAATTCTTTTTGTTCGTTGCTCTAATTGTCAAAACGTTAGCCTTGAATATCTAAATATCCGAATATCTTTTTATTCCTATTTTCATGCCACAATTCAAACTCCAAAAGATGTATTTTCTACGTAACGTAAACTTTCATCTAGCCACGACTTTTGTCTATCTCTGCCTTCCAGCTTCTACTTTCTCGGAGCTTTCGAGGCCAAAGTAACGGCCAATCAGAGGATTGATTTCCGTGTTTCTTCTACCACCGGATCGTGACACGTCTTTTATCAAAACCCGCTGAAAATCGATTTCTGCCGATTGAAGAAAGCCCCTCAGTCGATTTCAAATATCTCCCTTAACAAGTTGGACAGATAATAATTGCGTTATTAGAGTTCTTATTGTCACCGGCGCAGCCTCCGTGTGTGATGTCTTGGTCAATTGTCACGCGGCATTAAGTCGGCATGCGCCGTGTAGATTTTTATCGCGGTCCACGCAACCGCGATGCAGGAAACGTTAGGGACGTATAGCGTTCACAAAAAAGAAACAAAAATGCCCGGTTAACGCGCGTCCGCAAATCAAAGCTGACAGAGAAATATGCGATTTTCTGTTCCAGCGGCACAAGCGACGTAGTATATGATGACGTACTGTACAGAAAGACACAAATTATTACCGCAGGGTTGATTCGCGAAACTGACTGGATATTTAACTGTTAACCTGGCTTTTTTATACATTTTTGCGACCGCTGTACCATCTAGCGATCGGAGTTGCTGAAATTAGATTTTGGTGTACTGCAGGCTCTCGAGAATGTTTTATATTATTTTACTATTAATTAATGGTAGAGTCGAGGATTTCTATTTGTTTCTATCGGAATGCTTCAAAATCGTCTGTGGAAAATAGCGTATAACGGAGCTGTAAATTTATTGAAATTTTTATTTATATTATTTCATTGCTAAGTCTCAAGCGAAACTTTCTATATATTCATCATGTTTTTACTTTGTTTTTTGGTTGTATCTTCTTCTGAAGTAAAAAATTTTACTATTTGACCACAATTTGATTGCATACGTAAAATTAGGGCAGCACATACTTTTCATTTACCATGCAGTATATAAAGATGCATATCCGATGATATTTATACTAATATTTATTTTTAGTTTTTCCTTTTTTTTAAAGTCAAAATACTACTTTTCGACCATAATTTTGTTGCACATGTTTTTAATTTACGATACAGTGCGCGAGGACGCATAATTCTGTTAATTCACATTTAAAATATTTCATGGAAGGTAATATACATCCGGTAATATTTAATATTTGTTTTTATTCTTGTTGATTCTTCCTAAATTATACAGATACAAAATATTACGTAAATATCCAACGGCACGTATATGTAAATCAATGATGATTCGCGATAAAAGTATTTAAATTATTCCCTGCATGTCTGCCATCATTTTTCTTTAAGTAAATAAAATCTGGAAAATTCTAAAGAGTCAAAGGATAAACTGAACATAAATTCGAACGTTTTCCGATACGCAATAAGTTCTTTAATAAATTTTCGTTTCAATACACATTCGCTTAACTTTAATTATAATTCGGTGCTCCCTTCTTCAGTCTCATACATTTAACACAAAATTGGCGCGTTCTTCTTACACAATTTCAAACGACCAAAATTTCGTTCGAAAAAATTCGTTCAGTAAATGGAATATCGTACGCCAGAAAAAAAGGGCTGGTACAGCAACTCTACTTTCAAACTACTTTCTTCTTTACAGCACCCTGCGTTTAAACGCTTCACTGCGATGAGTTTCGCTGAAACGGAAGGCTGTCGTTAAGAGATTGTAACCCGATAAAAGTCGCACGATTTAAATGCTGGAGTTTTTTGGGATTCGGTCTGCTTGCTGCGTTAACTGCTTGCCGTCGCTTATTCCTTACAATTAGTTCCAATCTAATTAAAGCAGCTGCTAACTCCAAAATTTTTCCTCCGATGCTTTTATGATCCGTAGCATTGGGCATTTTAAATTTCATATACATAATATGGAGTGTATATATTCGTCATTATCATGGAAAGTGACTGATAATTGACAAATAAATGAAAAACGAACACACGTTATATGTGATTCGCACGGCATACCTTGTAATTAAACTGCAGATCTTTATACAAAATAAAATCGTTGCAGACGTATCTACAAAAATTGAATTTAAATAAGAATTTATTTTACTGTACAAATATTTTAATATGTACTTTCAATATCTTTTTTCAAATGATTGCATACTGCGCGCATTTCCTGATTTCTTTCAAATTTCCTATCAAATTTAGCCTGATTACTTTCAAATTTCCTATAAATGCATACAAATTCTCAGTCTACTTATAATTCATACGAGGTGCCATTTAAATTCGAATTTCGAGGTTTGCTTCCCTTGCAAAATAAACTTCACCGTCAGGATAACGATTACACACCTGCGTCGAGTGTATCCCGGAATGCGACCGCAAGGATAAAAAGGACAGCATTTGCCGCGAATATCTCGAGGTTCGACCGCAAACAGTTAACTTCCTTGGAACGATTCGAAATGATACACTCTTTCGTGCCGAGGGAAATGAAAGTAAGTGGTTACTCGATACGGTCGTATAATTGCTAATGGGCGCGTAGAGGTCGGGAGGATTGGAGGTGGTTGAGGGTGGCAATAAAAGAAATAGTAGGGAAACGGAAAATCGCTGGTCATCGGGAAATCAATCCCCTTCGGGCGTAACACGACGACAAATTGTACTAGGGTAGTGTAACGCGTCGGGTCCGAGATTCTAACGCTAATTAGAGGAAAAATAGGAAGTTATTGGTTCTTCACCGATCGGTTAATCAATCGTGATAACGTTCCCTTCGTGCGTTCACAGACGATTTACAATTAGATTCCTACTGCACTACCGCCCATTAATTTCAATACATTGTATTTGTGATTATTTCGAGGCGGAACGGATGTAATTTTAATTCATTATTTTAATTATTTAATTTGAATTCAAACAGCTGGACAGACGATTTACTTGAATTTTGTTGAATTCAACTTGATATAACTGTTTGAAATAAAATAATTGCTACTTGATTATTAACTTTTATATTGAAGGTGTTTTCGATTGCTTATATGTTTATTTTCTAATAGTAAGGTCTGTTATCGAACTGTTATCATAATTTAGTAAAAAATTATTTAGCTGCGTTACCAACTAAAAATGTCTGAATAGTAACTACTTCTAATAACTGTCAGTTACATAAGAGAAAAATTGTATTGTCCAACTGGAGCTGGTTGAAGTGCACGCGTACTCGACATTTAAAATTACTTTACTCGAAAATAAAGCGTCATATAAACAAATTTTATTCTACATTTTCGCTTCAATTTTTTACGTAGAATCACCCCCTACTCGCTTGTACCACCAGTGACGGGACACCCTGTATATAAATATATATATATATAAAATCCGTAATCCAGTGATAATGAATATACTCCGCGGCAAATATTTTTCGATTTAACCGCCGTGCAAAGAGTCAAGTGGCGCGATTACGAGCCCGTTTCAATTCCCCGACCGTTAAATACTTTCCAC